GCTGCCAGTCACAAGGGGAAGAGCGTCATCACGCTGTAAGTCACAAGGGGAGAGCGTCATCATGCTGTAAGTCACAAGGGCAGAGCGTCATCATGCTGTAAGTCACAAGGGGAAGAGCGTCATCATGCTGTAATTCACAAGGGCAGAGTGTCATCATGCTGTAAGTCACAAGGGGAGAGCGTCATCATGCTGCCAGTCAAAAGGGGAAGAGCGTCATCATGCTGTAAGTCACAAGGGCAGAGTGTCATCATGCTGCCAGTCACAAGGGGAAGAGCGTCATCACACTGTAAGTCACAAGGGCAGAGCGTCATCATGCTGCAGCTTCTCACACTGCCCAGGAAAGATGCACTGGTCACTTCATTCAGTGCCAGCATCCCTCAGCAGAAACAGGGCTTGACCCTAAATATGACAATAGGACAATGCCCCACCCATGGGCAGAACTCTGCACCTGACTGTCCCCTGCTTCCACATGACCTGCCACTGCATAGAAGGAAGAGTTTTAAACTTATGTTCAGTTGGCCTCTGTTTGTAACATTGTCCTTCATTTGAAAATCAATCTGCTTCGAGAAATCCCCTCCTAGCTCTCTGTCCTACTGTACACAGCTGGACATGGAGGCTCCACAGGGGCCTTGGGCAAGGAGGAGCGTCCAGTGATGGCCTGAAACTGGGAATGGTACAGGACATCTGTTGAACTGCTGCCTGGTCCTTCCATGGGTCACTGCACATGGAGAAGGGCAGGGTACCTGGTCACCCTTGGACCAGACCCTACATCCAGGAGAAGCAAGTGCCTCTGGCCACTTAGAGCCAGTTGCAGGAGATGTGGACCCCAAGAAGGTCCCTCTGAGAGGATATGAGGCTAATATGCTCACAAAATTTAAAAGACCCAGAAAGTGAGTATCAGTAAGTGCAGCCACAAGAACAACACTCCAAGTGGCTTCCGTAATCCAAAGTGTGTGTCCTGGGAGAAGAAAGCTTAAGCAGCACTAGCTCAGCCCATTCTTGACAAGCAGCCAAGCCTGGTGTCATAGCAGAGACAAGGTCTGCAGGTGCAGTGTATGGCTGAGGGACAGCCTACACAGAATACAAGCTTGGTACAAAAAGTGTTTTGGACCTGTGTGCTTGAGTCTGGACAGCTCCAAATGCACCCCGGGTTTGAGCAGCTTCTCTCAACAGGGAACTAGGCCTCTGTGATGACTGCAGTAGAGGTAGGAGTACACTTACCTAGGTATCGTGGGTAGAAGTAGTCCTGTAAGGAGAGATAAAGGGCAGTGGTCACTCACACAGCCTTAGGCTTCTGTAGCAGAACCAGCAGCTGCTCCTCAACCTCAGCCCTTCTCAAGGAGGGTGCAGGCACAAGTGGGGCCTCGGGTAGCCATCAGCATGGCCATTCACTCAGGCTGGCAGCAGAAGTGACCATAGCTGCTCAGAAAGTGCCACCCAGTCTCAGGGAGGGTGCCAGGAAGCCCCCAAACCTGCAGCCCTTTTGGTAACACATGGGAACAGGTTTGTATGGATTGTGTTTGTGAAGTGCAGGAGGAACTGTGGGGGCTATAAATGAGGGCTCTCTGCACATACTATGTGTGTGAGGGGCCTGCTGAAGGCTAGACTTTCCTGCCCCACTCTGTGCCATCAGAGGGGCCGGCACAACCTTCTTGGGGACCCCCAGTAGACAGCCCATAAGCTGAGGGCCACAGCCTGGCTGAAGTTGCCTCTACTCTTACGGTTATGGTCAATCCTGCAGGCAGTTTGGCCATAAACACTCCCAACTGAAATAAGAGACCACAGTTGTGACAGAAATGGCACCTGCAGCCACTGCACATGGCAGTACCCAGCATGTTTCATTCTGCGTGATCCTCACAGCATCCAGCCAGGGAGTGCTTTTAACCCCCTTATCACACATCAGGAAATTGAGGTTATGAAGCCAGACCTGGCAGGTGAGGATTAGTGGGCAGGGCACAGCAATAGGGCAGGCTCCTACACTATCCTATACCTCAGCAGAGAAAACTGGCAGGTAGGGCTGCCGAGGGTCTCTGGGTGCTCCTGGGGGCCTCTCCAGTGCTGCAACAGGCCATGAAGATGCACTCACTTGGGCATGTTTTTTAGAAAGTTATGTTCTAGTGATGACAGGATGTTTTAAACTGTCACTCCCTTGAAAGAAAAGTTGGGTCAGGGCGCACTGGCATTCAGCTCTGGGGCACACGGACACAGCTGCCCCTGGGGTCAGGAGGGCCCTCATGTCTCTCTATTTTGATCTTAGGTGAGCAAACTCAAAAAAGTACAGGAGAGTCCAGCAAGGTCCATGAATTCTGTGGGGTCCAGCTGCCTCCCTCCTGAGCAGGAATGGCCGGGGTCTGGGGATTTGTCTCATAGGGAGGCTCTAGTTCTACACTAAAGATTTAAGGTAGATATAGAAGGTGTCCTCTTGGGATCAGGAAACCAACAACTCATAAAGAAAGGACTAAAAACAAGTATGAACTCATGAGTTAAAGTTGGGCATAAATGTTTGCATTACCAAAACTCTCCAAAAATTGTGTTATTTTTCAAAATCATAACTAGTCTGTTAATGTATAATCTGTTTTAATGCTGAGTTCGAGTGTTGCAGAAAGGCATTACTGATAGAAAAACTGTGCCAGTCTCCCACTCAGTAGACGGCATCTGTGGGAATAGGGTTTCTGAAACCACAAGACATATCCTGGGGACCTGGCCCTTGTGTGTCTGATTATATGGGTTGGGAGGCAGAAGGCAGGTGCTAATCTGACCAGTGAGTGAATAAAATCACAGTTAAGACAAATACACCTAAAGATGTTCCATGCAGGGCGGCGCCTGTAGCTCAAAGGAGTAGGGTGCTGGCCCCATATGCCGGAGGTAGTGGGTTCAAACCCAGCCCGGGCAAAAACTGCAAAAAAAAAAAAAAAATGTTCTACACACTCCCCACAGGAAACAACATTTCCTGTGGCCCTTGGAAAGTTCTAGTGAAAGATGTGAAGCCTGCATGACCAGCTATAAACAGAGGCTTCTAATAAGCTGCCCTGATGCACAAAGCCATCTAACTGGCCTGGACGCCAAGCCGCTCAGGTGTGTAAACCTTGGCTGCAGCCTGGCAGGTTGACTCACCCAGGAACCTCAGGGTGCAGAGGCCACACAGCTCAAGAGGCCAAGATTGGGAGCCAGCAGCCACCTCACCGACAAACCCCTCTTTCTGCTTGACCCAGGAAAAGCAGGGCCTGTGGGGATGGCTGGAAACAGAGCCCTTTGCCATGGATCTCCCTGTTCCTGGGGGAGGTCTCTACTCTGCTTGAATGGCTGCAGATGGGGGTGGGGAGGGCAAAGCTGAGCCACCATGCTGTGAGCTGAGCCCCAGAGCCCCTTAGGACCATCGTGAACACAGGGATGGAGGACAGTTGGATGGTGGAGGAATGATGGGTGAGTGAACAGCCAGGTAACTGAATGAGTGAGGGTGACAGCTGGATGGATGACGAGTGAGCAGGTGCAGGGCTCCCCATTTTCACTCAGTGGACAAGGCACTGACATCAGTGTTATTTGTGTCAGAGATAAGCACCTGGCCTGTCTCTCTTGATGACACTACAAGCTAATACCATGGTTCCTCCAGTTTACAAACTGCCACACAGTTACCTTAGATCTTATTGCCACCTGTCACATGCCCAGCCATGGCAAAGGACCACCCTTCCAAGGATGACTCCTAAGGCACACTGATTTCAGAGAACAGGAGACCTGTGCTGTTCCAGGTAGGGGCCCCTCATGGGGCAAGACCCTCCTTATGAACGTTCTTGCCTGTGGGAGGGCCACACCCCAGGGTTGGCTGGCCCTCCCAGGGTTCAGGAAGGCTCAGGGAACTGAGGCCCCCATGTGTCAGGTTTGGTCTTGGTGTGAACAGCTGGGCTTCTCCCTGACACCATCCAACTGCATGTGCTCCCTGCCACTTTTGTAAACACAGAGAAAACTTGTGACCTAAAGCATCTTTGAGAGAGCTGAGCCCAAGAACAGGCCCTCTAGCTGGGCTCTAGTGAGGCCCCAGATTTGTTCTAAAACCATACAAAAGTGCTCTGATGAATCAACCCCCTGCCACTGGGACCTATCTCCCCTGGGCCCATCCTATCACCAGGTCCCCTTGCTGAGAGGAGGGGAGACAGGGGAATAGACTTCAGGAAGACCCGGGCATACTACCACTGCCCTGCTGACCACCAGGTCCTGACTACCTGGAAGAGTCTTCACCCTCTACAGCCCATCAGCACAGCAAAGGCCAAGAGCAGCAGGAGCTTCCCACATGCAGAGTGAAGGGCTAGCCTTAGGGACTGACCATCAGCCTGACCACCCCTGGCCAGCTCCACACTAAAGCCTCATGTTGCTGAAGCCCCAGCTCCGAAAAGACCTCGTGACCTTGGGTTAGCTCCCCCAGCCTGGTGTAGGACAGGGCGGGATCTGGCCAGCAATGACCCCGGAAGTGTCCTCTGGTGGTTTCCTGGCCACCCCAGGCCTTTGAGGGCAGATTCACTTTCAGCAAACAGCCTGAACCCATGTGAGATAGTCATGGCCAATGTGGCACTTTTCCAACAAGGGACAAGGATTTGGGCCTGAAGATTGTTGCACTGGCTGCCACCTCACATAGGACCCACATACAACTTGGCAGGTTCCAGAAACTGTGCATGGTGTCCTCGAAAAGTTTCCTAAATCCCTTCATCTCTGGGTCTACTGTGACCCCTTGGGGCCTGGTAGGGGTGAGGCGCCCAGTGGGATGACAGGTGTTGCTCACTTATCTTCTACACACTGTTGTGCAAGGCAGTGACACCCTCCATGCCTGTCCCCTTCTCATAAAATGGGTCCTAGAACGCTCACTCCCAGTGCCTCTGTCAGAATTAGGTATCTGCAGCTGTGGGTGAAGCTCCTGCAGACGCCTCAGTGTCAACTGTGCATCACTCCAGCTGGACGTTTATCTGGATTCATTTGAGGAGTTTCAAGTGACGATGTGATAGGAAATACTTGTTTTGAAAGAACTTAGTGTCATACTTCAGAGACGGCTGAGACAACTGAATACCTGTGTTTCTCACAGCACCGCTGTGTCATCTTTGTCATCTTTTGAAGATGCTATTCAACTGTCACTTTTGAAGTAAATGCAAAGTCTGCCTGCTCATGAACAGTCAAGTTGTCCCTGCAAGCGTAGAATGGAAGCAAACAGCATGTCCACCTGAGACATGGATGGGTTCTGGATGCAGCCCACGTCTGCCACACTGTTGCTCTTAGGGCTGCCTGGCAAGAGCACAGGTGTCTGGCCAGCCCTCCCCCCAGCAGGGCAGGAAAACCTCACGCCACTCTGCAGCCTCTCAGCCTCTATAAGGACTGTCACCTCAGCCATTCGGAAAGGAAGTGACATCCACTTAGCCAGCAGCACCATGGAACTGCAGATGGAGGTAACTTGTGCTTCTGGGCGTCAGACTGACACGGCCCCCACCCCTCAAGCTGCTGCATCGGGCTTAGGGTGTCCCTGCAGCTCTGAGGTCCAGGAAGCCTTGCACAACTGGGCCTGGGGGCAGGTTGGGGACATGTGGGAAAGTGCATTTTATTGTCAGGGGCACTAACACTGGAAGGAAATGCACATCATCTACCATATGAAACAAAGTCCAAGAAAATGGGCTGTCCGCAGCCCGATGCACACCACTATTTCCCCAGCCACGTGTCATGCCAGAAGCAGATTGCTGTGAAGAGGGAAGTGGGGAGCTGATGTCATCCTCAGCCCCTTCTACTTTCAGCTCCTTTTTGAAAACTACTTTAAAATTTTGTAAATGAACTTTCTATTCTGTCAGGGTCACCACTGACAAGGTATATACACCATGTCTACACCAAAATTACCAGTGTGGGACAGCACCTGCAGGCTCAGGGCCCCCAGGTCAGACAAGAACTGAGGCTGCATTGCAGAAATGCCCCCAGTGCAAACCCCAAGAAATGGGAAACAGGGCATGTGAAGTGCAGCCTCTCTGGGGCCAAGTGACACCCTGGCCCACCCTCAACCTCTACAGTCCCAGTGGCCCTTCATGGAGAGCTGGGAGCTGCAGTGCTCACCCTAAAAAGGGCACTTGTTCCTAAATAACAGAGTGAGATGCTCAGCGTTTTTCAAAGTGTCTTTTTTTCCCTTAGAGATAGAGTCTCACTTTGTTGCCCTCGGTAGAGTGCCGTGGCATCACAGCTCACAGAAACCTCTGGCTCTTGGGCTTAGCCCCAAGTGCCTATAGACGCCTAGAGGGGATATGATCTACAGGGCTGCAGCCCAGGACGTCATGGGCCTGGGCTGTCCAGCCCTCTGGAGACAGGACAGTTGGAACGACCCAGAGATCCCCATCTGAAATGACCAATGTCCCCAAGGCCTCCAGTGGCAAAAGCCCCAGAGAGGCTGGGCCAAGAGAAAAGGCTGTGTAGCAGGGGCCACTGGACAGAGGTCAGGATGCTCTGGGAGGGAGAGACCTGGAGAGGAGGGGCTGGACCACACTCCCTGTGGGATCTTGTCTCACTTTTCAGTGACCTTGATGTAGCCCAATGGGCCTATTTTGACCCTCAAAGTCATAAAAAAGTGAGTGTGAGGATGTATTCTAGTGGGTGTACATGTATGTGCTTTTTTTTTCTTTTTTGACAGAGTCTCACTTTGTCACCCCCAATAGAGTGCCATGGCATCACAGCAACATCAAACTCTTGAGCTTAAGCAATTCTCTTGCCTCAGTCTCCTGAGTAGCTGAGACTACAGGTGCCCACTACAATACCTAGCTATTTCTAGAGTCGGGGTCTTGCTCTGGCTTAGGCTGGTCTCAAACCTATGAGCTCAGGCAATCCACTTGCCTTAGCCTCCCAGAGTGCTAGGATTACAGGCATAAGCCACAACACCTGGTCCCTGTAAGTGCTCTTCGTATGTGTCTAAATGTATGTGTCACTGGGCACATGTATATGCATCTATCTCTGTATGCATATACACATGTTGTTTGTGCGTGCCTATGTTTATTCTTCATTGCAGGTGTATGTGCACATATTATGTGTCTATGTGAATGTGTATACATGAGTATATGTGTGTGCACATATGTGCATATGCATGTATGTGTCAGGGTGTCTGTCAATCAATGTCTGATTCTGTGTGCAGGTACGCGTGTGCATGTTTGCGTGTGTACGCATGTGGGTGCTGTCAAGGCAGGGTGGGTGAGGGGCTGTTGTCCAGGTCTTGGCCTGGACATGTCCTTCCTGTTAGATGCCGCATGCCCCATGTCATAGGGGTGAGTCTCTGAGGGCCTCCCCTCAGTCCCCTGCTGGGACTCCCCCTAGGGTTGCCAAGTGGCTGTGCCAGAGGGTGGGGGCTTTCACCTCTGCAGGGTGCCCTTCTCAAGCTGTTCCTGATAATCACAGGCTCAGGGAATAGGTCCTTGAGGGGCTAGGCGCTGATTAAGATGGGGCCTTTGAAGCTAACTGTACCCCAAAACCCATGTAGAGAACCCATCACAATCAGCAGGGCAGGGCCCCCACACCTGAGAGCTGAGGGAGGCAGTGGTGGGAGGGGGAGGAGAGAGCAGGGAGATACCAGTCTACATGAGGTGAGGTGGTGGGGTCAGGGCCACAGCCAGATCTGGCACACAGACCAGAGCAAAGTGTGCAGGGCTGGTATGGTCCGGAAGCAAAGGTTGATCATTGAGATCCTGTAGGGCAGTGGTTCTCAACCTTCCTAATGCCATGGCCATTTAAGACAATTCCTGTGAGTCACGACCCATAGGTTGAGAACCGTTGCTGTAGGGGCTGTAGGGACTGCCCAAGGACGGAGACAGAGAGGATGGGACTGTCCAGCCAGGACCTCAGACAAGGGGAGGCAAAATGCCAGGAAGGGAGAATAACAATATAAAAAGGAAAACAAGATAAGGACAGGAGGGCAGCTCAGGGAAGCCTGGCCAGGAGGAATGTGGTGGGAGGCGGGAACCAGCTCCAGCCAGTGTGAGATACTGGAGATACACCCCCTCCCCCGCAGGAATCCAGAGGCGTTGGGAAGGGCTTCTCTCCTAGAGCTCTGGGATCTCAGAGAGCAGAGCTTGCCTGACACCAGAGGGAAATAGCCCTGGAAGGAGGTGTGTTAACTAATGCCCAGTAAGATGTCCTGCAGACAGGACGTCAGCATCCAGCACCCTATATCACTCTCCGATGGTGGGGCCCGCCTGGTCAGGGGAGGACAGACATTTCTCACAGGCCTGTGGGAGGCTGGGAGGCTCTGCACCACCCATTGGCCTTACTCTGTTCCACAAAGGGTGAAATGAGCTGTTTGTCAAAGGCAGGGAACTCTGCTGACTTCCTAGGGCTGCCTCTCCTTGAGGGCTCCTGAGCCCCGAGGGAGGGCAGGGAGGAGGGCGGGGTGAGGACCTCCAGGCAGTACACACCTGGGCTACCAATGAGGCCGGGAAACAAGCCAGTCGCCCCGCCCAGTCTTGCTCCAGCCAGGCCCTTCCCACATTCCACCCTGCCAGGAAACAGAGGGAGCGCTGCCAAAAGCCAGGCCCAATGACAGTTGGAGCTGCACCCTAGGGTGCCAGGGCCCCCAGTGCAGCTGACCACTGCCAGGCAGAGGTGGGGGTGGTCCAGTGGGGAGGCTGGTAAATGAAGGGAAAATGTCCATATTGGTGTTGGGGCCCGAGGTGGGGAAGGAAGACCAAATTCTGGAAAATCACAAGTGGCTATGGCGGGAAAGGGATTCTCTAGGGGGCAGGAGGGTGGCCCCACATCACTGCTTGCAGTGCACATGGGCAGGTGCAGCGGGAGTGCTAAGCCCTCACACACAGGCTGAAATGACAGTGGCTGAGTTAAAGTCATGGGGTCATGAGCACCTTTTTCTTATCTTCATTACATACCTTTGTAAAGTTATTATTAAAGCATAAAAGCAATTATAGTCATTGAGGGGACAAGGCTCTGCCTGGCCCAGGCTATACCCTGTTAGCAGCAGGAAGAGGGGCTTATGTTTCTGAGGCCTGGCTACAGTAGCTCCCTGGTGGGGGCCTGTAGCTCTGACTCATTATCATCAAGCCCTCCCAAGGCTGTGTGCACCAGCAGAGCTCCAGGTAAGCCTGGGGTTGGAGGGTGTGTACCTTGCCCTCCCCAGTCAACCCAACAGCCCCCCTGATATGCACAGGGCCCAGTGCATATCAATCCCCCACCCCCACTCCAGTAGGCCCTCCAGACCTTTTGCCAGAGGGAAATGGCAGAGCAGGGAGTTTGAAAGGGAGCAGGGAGACACCAGGCAGCAAGGTCTGTGCTGCTGGCACTGAGCCCCCTCCCATCTTGGTCACTGCAATGACCAGCTGTGCCCAAGACCTCTTGTTTCAAAGCAGTGGATCTAAGAGGGACTGTACAGCCCACCACTGGAGTATGAGGCAGAGTGAAGGCTGATGCTCAGACCACTCTCACTCCAAGGAGATACTCATTTCATCCCTGTAAAATTCTTAAAAGAAAATTTCCACAGAGCCAGCAACTTAGCTGTGAAATTACCCTGACTTTGCAGTAGAAAATGGCATAACACAAGTCCATACCATTACTGAGTTTCCAGAGTCACGGGCTCCAGAGTACACACCCTCTGCTGCCCCTCCCCCGGAGCTGCCCTGCAGTGGCTGCCCTGGCACTCTGCAAGGATGCAAACTTGCTCTGGCCAGCCTGGGTCAGCACAGCCAGGCCCTGGACCACCTGCGTCTCAGCAGTAAGACACTTGGCAGCCAGCACTGTGCAGGAGGGATGCCACTTCCACCCTGCTGCCCCCATGCAGGATCTGCACTATTCCTGTAATCATATTTTTGGACCTGCTGCTGCAAGCAATTCCCGGCCTCAGATCTTTCAATTCCTCTTTTGGGAAAACTCTCCACCCCTCTATGTTGATGGAGGAGTGGTGCGGCCCTAAGAATCCTCACCTCCACTGCAGCTGGAGCTGTTTGGGGTTTAGCCAGTGCATTTCTTTTATTCTTTGAAACCGGCCCCTTTTCACCCCAGGGAGGCTCTGACAGTGAACACCTCCACGCTGCTGCCTGCACTGAGCATCCACCAGACTGCTTCCCTCCAGGGGAGCATCTGGGGTCCCCGGGGATAGGAGGCGGGGCTCCTGTGTGCGTGCCACCCTTACCGCGACCGTCTCAGCGCAGGGGAAAGCTAGGGCGTGGCTCGGGGCGCGGGACCCAACAGAAGCGGCTCGCGGAAACCCCGAAGGGAGGGAGGTCTGCAGTGCTGCAGGACAACAGTCCCAGCAGTGCGCGCAGGATATCCGCAAACACCCGCCCCACGTCCCGCCCGCTGAGGACCCCAGGCGCCCTCGCGCACCACTCTGGGTAGCGCTCACCGTCTCGGGGTCGTTCTCGAACACCTCCCGGGCCTCCTCCTTAGTGCACAGCTCCTCCACGCACTCCCGCTCCAGGTGCCCCTGCTTGGCCTCTTCAAAGACCTGATAGGCGCGACGCTGCCTGGGCCGCAGGAACTGCGCCGCTTCCCGCGCCCGCAGCAGCACGGCTACGGGGAGAGGACGACGCGGTCAACCCGCGCCCCGTCCGACCCGGCACTGTCCCTCCCCTCTACGGTCCTGCGACCTCTTTCCTGCCCCCGGGCCTGTCCTCACCCGACTCACCCCACCACGGCCCTGCGCCTCCACTCTGCCCTCGGTCCTGCGCCTCCTTCACGGCTCTCGGGCCTGTACCCCGACCCCGTTTCTGCCCCGTCCCTGCTCCCCTCCCGGGATGCTGCGGCGCGCTGCGGGGCCGGGCGGACTGCAGACACCCGTGACCGCTCTCCGGCAGTAGTGGACTCTTGGGGCCCCGCGCAGCACTCACTGTGCGCAGACTCGGAGGCCAGCAGGAGCAGCAGCAGCGCGGTGCCCAGGGCGGCGGCGGGCCCGGGCTGTGGCGGCATGGCGGGGGCCGGGGCTGGACCGTACCGGGGCGGGGACGGAGCTGGGAGCGCGCAAGGTCAGAGCGCCTGGTAAGCCGTGGTTAGCCGCGGGCGCCGCGGGGCATTGGCTCCGGTCATCCTGTCCTGGCAGCCCGGAAGGTCACATCGCTGCGGCGGCACCTTGGGCGCTTGCGGCCGGTCTGGGCGGAGGCGGCGGCGGCGCAGCCGGGTGGCGGCCGGGGGCGGGGCGCGGGGCGGTGGCGGGGGCAGCGCCGGCCTCGTAGCGGGCGGGGCCGCGGAGTCAGCGGCGTTGGGGCCGGTCTGCGCCGGGAGATGCTATTGGCGCGAAAGCAGGTCGGCTGGGTGCGACAGTCCCAGCGCGCAGACCAGAGGAACTAACGCGTCCTGGGCGTCCTGGACCGATTGCACGTCTTTATTCTGGGCGGTTCGGACCGGAGCAGGTACAATGTGACAATTTTCCAGACAAAATGCTAAGATTTAAACCTCTTTCCAACCCTTCCCTTCCAAATCTACTGAACCATTTTTGGGGGGGGGGGTGTTTCATTCTTAGGCACATTTTCTCAAGACTGAAACCCACCAAAGTTAAACTGAGGTCAAACACAGTCCCATAGGGACCCAGGGAGAGAGACTAAATTATTTCCTTTCGCAATTCCTGTTTCCATAATGATGACAATTCAAAACCTTGAGGTCTCCCAGGAGATATTTAAGCTGAATGTAACATTCTGCTTATTCTCAGAGACCAAGACTTTATGTCTCTTGTCTTGGGATATTTCGCAAATCACAGGCAAACATACAAACAAGCCAAGCGGAAACATAGCAGAGACCTTACAGAAACAGGACAGAGGCCGGCGGGGCCCAGCGCTCCCTCAGGGGCGTGGGGGGTGGGGTGGGGGGTGGGTAGAAGCTGGAGAGCTCTGCTCTGGAAACCCTCACCTCAAAATGCAGCGAAGAGCCTTCTACCCAGGAGATGCCTCTGTAATTGAGAGGAAGGAATGTAATTGCTAGTAGAATTCTTTGAGGTTATTAGTTTTAAGGTGGCGTTAATGGAATGAATACGTTCATTAGGGAAATGAATGTCATGGGAATGTTCTTCCAGGAGAAGTAAAAGCTGAGTAGGTAAGTCATGTGCATCTGTCTGAGTCAGGTAACAAGGCACTCCCTGAGCCTGGGAAAACCATGGCTGCTTTAAAAAGAATATCTGTTACATTAATTTTCCTTCTTTTATTTTTTTTTTAAGATAGAGTCTCACTCTGTAGCCCTGAGTAGAGTGCTGCAGCGTCATAGCTCACAGCAACCTCAGACTCCTGGTTCAAGAGGCTGGGTCTCCCAAGTAGCTGGGACTACAGGACCCTGACACAACACGCGCTAGTTTTTCTGTTTTAGTAGAGAATGAGTCTTGCTCTTGCTCAGGTTGGTCTTTAACTCCTGAGCTCAAGCAATCTGCCTGCCCTGGCCTCCCCGAGTGCTCGTATTATAGGCATGAACCACCATGCCTGGCCTTTCCAGTTTGCTCTTAAAGAGAAGCACTGATGGGCAGCGCCTGTGGCTCTAAGGAGTAGGGTGCTGGCCCCATATGCCAGAGGTGGCAGGTTCAAACCCAGCCCCAGCCAAAAACTGCAAAGAAAAAAAGCACTGGTTTCAAAAATCTGGGTGGAGTGATGAATTCTTTAGTCAGTATTTCCAAGGCTCTTTAATTAACTAGTCGCTCTGTAGAACAAATAATTCATCAAGCACCCACTGTATGCCAGGCGGTGTTCCAGGCACCTCTGCTATTTCCTAGGGGTTATAAACCAGCAGCTCCTGGGTAGACTTCAAAGAATGTGTGAACTCCTAGAAATTGATTGCAGTTATTTTCTGCACATTTGTTTGGCTTTGGAAAAAGAGTGTTACAGAGTTCATGTAATTCCCAATTATCTGATTAATTTAAGAGTGGCTGTCTCCCATGTCTGCTGCTCTGGGTCAGCCTGCACTTGAATGTGAGCCCTCTGCTTCAGGTGGTCAGGGGTCACCATTGCCTCTCTTGGATGGAGCCTTTCAGGTCCCCTAGACCTCACTCCCTTTCTCCATATTCCCAAATTCACCCTTTCTATTGAGTTAGTTTCCCAGTAATAATGTCTCTTACTGTGTAGAGACTTAGTTTGCTAAAACTCATTCATACGTACTTGCTCACTTTGATTTCAATAACTGGGGAATATAGAAAACAGATATAGGAGCAATGCGGGGACATCTGACTCAAGATAACTCCAAAATGTTCTACCTAGTTACCAGTACAGAAAATTTTCTCTAGGGCAGAAATGGAAAATGAACCAGAAACAATTTGGATAATATATTCCAAAAATGGGAAGAGTTGTCAGGCACTATATTATGCACCTGGAAATAGCAATGGTGAAGTTGACAGTCCACTTTCACAGCAACAGAGGTCAGACCCATATGAATCCCTGACAGGTGGTGAACCAACCTAGGGTTATGGGATGGAGAGCTAGTGGCTTGTCTTTCCAGGGATAAAATAGGGTGAAAGTGTGGAGGTGATGTGGGAGTGAGGATACAGCAAATGAGATGTCTGCAGAGAAATGAAAGCTCTGCACTGCCCCTCTGTCATCACCTTTGTGAGTGGTGATCCTAAGACAATAAGGCTACTCACTCATCTGTTCATCCAGTAAATGTGAGTTGAGTACTTGCCATTTTGTCTTAAAAGATGCCATTAAAAAAAAAAAAGATGCTATGCTGGTGTTGACAAACCAGTTACACAATCATATTTGGGTTTTGGTTGCTTGTATTCAGAATCGCTTTATTGAGATATAAAGGAAATGCAGTAACCTGCACACATAAGATAGATGCTGACTTATCTGTATATACACCTGTGAAACCACCATCACAGTCAGATTAAGGAACACCCGTAATCCCTCCCCCCGAACATCTCTGTCCTAACTTACATCTTCATCCCTCAGCAAACCACGGATCTATTATCACTATCAATTAGTTTGCATTGCCTAGAATTTTATATAAAAATATGTATAGGATATTTTGCAAAGTCCTGAAACTTTTTGTCTGGTCTCTTTCACTCAACATATTTATTTTCAGATTGATCTGCATCATTGCATTTATCCATAACTTACTCCTTCTATTGCTCAGTATTACCCACTGTATGGAGATGCTAGTTTCTCCTTCACCTGGTGAAGGAGATGATGGATGGTGATGGATGTTCATCACCATTTTTACTATTACAAATAAAGTGGCTATTGAGCATTTGCGTGCAAGTTATTGCATGCACACTTGCTTTCATTTATCTTGGGAAAATATTTAGGAAACAATATCTGAATGATATGGTAGATATGTGTTCAACTTTTAAAGAATCTGCCAAGCTATTTTCCAAAATGATTATACCTCTTTGCATTTCCACTAGCCATGTATGAGAGTTCTCAACATCCCCACTAATATTTACTGTGGTCAGTTTTTTAATTTAATTTTAGCCATTCTAATAGGTCGCTAGTGGCACTTTATGATAGTTGATACTGAACAAATGTTATTGTGCTTATTGGCATCCAAATATCATCTTTTGTGAAGTGTTGGTTTTCTTTGCTTGGCATGTTTGCTTTTCTAATTGTTGAGTGTACTAAGTTCTAAGAGTTCTATTTTCCTTTTTTTTTTTTTTGAGACAGAATCTCATTTTGTCGCCCTCAGTAGAGTGCCATGGCATAATGGCTCACAGCAATCTCAAATTCTTGGGCTTAAACCATCCTCTTGCCTAAGCCCAAGTGGCTGGGACTATAGGCACTCGCCACAGTGCCCAGCTAATTTTAGAGATGGGTGCTACTCTAGCTCAGGCTGGTCTCGAACTCCTGAGCATAGGCAATCCACCCACCTTGGCCTCCCAGAATGCTAGGTTCACAGGCATGAGGCACTGTTCCCAGCCTGGTTTTAAGAGTTCTATTACTATTTTGGGTACAAGTTCTTTACCAATGTGTGGTTTAAAATATTTACTTCCAGTCCATGGTTTGCCTTTTTATTCTATTAAAGTATCTTTCAAAAAGCAAAATTCTTAATTTTAAAGTGCAACTTATTATTTTTTCTTTAATAGATTCTGCTTTGAGGATTAGAGTTACTTGTTTGGCACACAAAAACATACAACAACAATGAACACCACTCAGCAAGACACTGCCACATGTCCACACAAACATAGCTGTGCGGCACTGATATACCAAGGTTATGAAACCTTACTGAGTTGTTTGTACAGACCTCGTATGATGGCAACCCTGATAGTCATTCCAGAAAAAAAGAGTTCCAAAATTGCTTTGAAGAGTGGACTAGGTGCTGGGATTGGTGCATAGCATCCCAAGGGGAGTACTTTGAAGGTGACTATATTGATATTCAGCAATGAGGTATGTAGCATTTTGTAAAGGATGAGTTCTCAAACTTAATTGTCAGACTTTGTATGTATTACTGAAAAGACTATTTTTTTTTCCTTCACTGACTTGCCTTGGCACCTTTGTCACTAATCAGTTGGACATACATATGTGTGAGTCTCTTTATAGACTCTATCCTGCTCCATTGATTTATCACTCTTTAAAATTAATATCATACTATCCTGATTACACTAGATTTTTAGAAAGAATTAAAGTCAGATAATATAAATACTCAAGCTTTATTCTTCCTCAAAGCTTAAAGTTGTTTGGTTATTCTATCTGTATTTTTTGCATTTATTATATTATGTATGAATTTAATAGAATCAGCTGGTCACTTTCTACGAAAAGTCTTCTGACATTTTAATGGGAATGCATTGAATCTAGAGATCAATTTAGAGATAATGAACATTTGACAGTTTTGAGTTTTCTGATCTATGAACATGGTATATCTTTCATTTATTTAGTCCTTCTTAAATTCTCTCAGCAATATTTCACAGTATTCAATGTGTAGCCTGACAGTTATGTTGTCAGATTTCTTTCTAAGCATTTCTCTTTTGGGGGGTTCTGTTGTAAATGGCATTGTTTTAAATTTTAATCTCTGATAGTTTCAGCATTTTATTTATTTATTTATTTTAAGACAGAGTTTCACTAAGTTGCCCTCGGTAGAGTGCCATGGCATCACAGCTCACAGCTCACAGCAACCTCAAACTCTTGGGCTTAAGCGATTCTCTTGCTTCAGCTGCCCAAGTAGCTGGGAATACAGGTGCCT